GCAACCCTGTCAGGACGTCTTTTGGGTACCTCTCATGTCAGAACTCTTCTGTAAACAACTTGTGGAAGAAATGGAAAACTACGGTCAATGGTCTGATGGTTCAAACCTTGATCCACGTCTTGAAACCGGCTATGAGGCTGTACCCACTCACGACATCCATATGCGACAGATTGATTGGGAAGAACATTGGCTCCATGTACTCCGAACTTATGTCTACCCTATTCAATTGAAAATCTGGGAGGGCTATACTGATAAGGTGTGTTGGGCTTTAGAGTCCCCATGATGCGTAAGCACTTCAGACGGGTAATGAACTGTGTTCACTTTTTTTAGCCTTGGGCCCGAATGAACTTCGTGGTCCGTTATAAACAGGGAGAACAACCTTCCCTTCGATTCCATCATGACGCTTCCACATATACTCTAGACATGGCTCTTAACCAAGTTCACAAGGACTATGAAGGCGGAGGAGTACACTTCCTTCGATATGGATGCAAGCTTATAGAGACTCGAGTGGGATGGCCACTCATCTTTCCTGGTCGTCTAACTCACTTCCACGAGGGAATGGAAACCACCAGTGGAATTCGATACATATTTGTCACCTTTGTCAACCCCTGACAACTTCCCCACATACTTATCCTTACTAGCTCATTTGATTCTGTTTTTGTTTTTAGCATTATTTCCAGCCTCACATTTAAGAAAATACAGCTGAGGTTTTAAGAAAATAAATGACATTATCATTTCTCTGCTGATATTTTGTCATCCATAAAGGAAGTATTTATGTATATTTACTATTCTGGACTTTAGAATAATGAAGACTAGAATAGAAGTGTAAATATGCAAAATTTCAGACTTAAATAAATAAAATTAATTTAACACTTTTGATTATCGCGAAGCAATTTCTATTAACTTTCTTAATTATCTCAGCAGGTATTATTGGAGAAATGTTACTCTATATCGCTTAATTGTTAAAGTCCATTTATTTTAAAATTGATCCAAGGTGCGTTGCTTTCACGCCTTTTACTACATTTTCTCATGATTTTCCTACTTATATTATATATATTATATATATATAGTTGTGAAAGTAATATTTGTGAAGGGTCACCTCTTAGTAATTATTAGTATTTGTTTACTTATAAGATTTGGAAAAATTGTTAGAAAGTATTTATGGAGTGGCGCAGTATATATGAATGCTTGGATGGTAAAATTCTTCTTCACACACTCGTTGCATCCGGTACGTAGATGTTTAGGCAAACAAGACTTGTCAGCATATTTCATTACTGTTCCAGTTCATTCGCATGTTCCTTTTTGGCTAGATAAAATGGAGGTGGATCGGCAAACTTGGAATAGACAGTAAATGACGCATAGGGGTGAGACTAAGCATGAAAAAAATGGCTCATCGCTATACCTGGATTGCATAGATAGGAAACTGCTCAGAGTGGTAATGGAGTACGAAGTCGATTGAGTTAAGTTCATTTGTGCTCTTTTCATGTTTATCAATAAGCAAATGGGGATAAGATGCATAACACTTTTCGTCACTTTAAAACATTTCGATACACAAACACATAATTCAGTCAACAAACATCAACACCTGGCATTAAGAAATTTCTTGAATTCTGATATCCATTTTAATAAGGAGTTATCATTGATTGGGCACTCAATTGATATAACGCGTTATCTTTATCATCTTGGCCGATGAATTGAAGCGGCTTCTCAGCTACTTCCTTTCTGTCCCAGCTACGCAAGTAACTTGACTTTGGCAACTTAAGTCTTCAATGTTATAAAAATGGGGTGTGCGATCGACTTACCTCCACGTGGTGCACCCTGGGCAACATATTCTCATACGGCAAAAAGTCTATAAACCGGCAGTCGACTTCTGACTTCAAACTACCATGATCCCATTGTATGTCTTATTCGATCACTTCTACCATACTTATCCTACTTTGTCTCTGCTTTTGTGTCTGTCTGTCTCTTTTACGTCTGTGCATCATTATTCTTCCCCCTCTCGACTTTTTACCACTTGGATGTTCATCTTCCTTTCTGTGAAGCCCGAAGTCAACTAAAGGGCTAATGATACCTATCATAACGCCTGCCATTTGAAATATATATATATACTTATTGTGACACATTGTGTAAGATCTTTGTCGAATTGAAATTAGTTAATTAAATTCTGAATAATCTTATCATTGTTCAATTTTTACTCCCCCACTGCACAAAAGGAACCTAAATGCTTGATAATCGGTGGGTAAGCTATATAGAATTTCTTTATTTATTCCATATTTGAGTTAAACTTGTTTCGTTAGACAACCTAAAGAGCAATTCTTTATAACCATCATAAGTGGGACACTTCAGAAATATTTGTGTAATGTAAAGGAAATAGAAATGAAGCCAATCTAGTTGAAACTATTTAATTGAATGATTTAAGTTTTACAACGTATCTAGAACATACCTGTCTGAGTATGACGAAAGAACTTACGAAATTATTAAAATAATTACATCGAAACCCTTTTACACTTGGCGTCTTCAACAAAAGAGTGGTCTACTCAAAAAAGCAGTTATTGGGAAATCATTTAAAAATTATAACTTCTAGAGACATTTAATCTTAAAATTATGGTTGATCAAGGCTGTTTCTTAAGTGTGTAATATGTTAATGAATCGGGCAATCAAGTTGGAATAATTGATAAAAGGCACGATTAATATGCGTGAAATTGCTTATTGGATTAGCATTATCTAAGTTAAAATATCTGTTAATTAAACACCTAAAGTGGGTCATTAAATACAGTTAAATAAAAAAGATTACAAATAATAACAACGAAAGATGACGACTTTATGTCATTTGTGCGAAAGATAATGTTTGGACACTAGGAGCCACGTTGACCTTGTGAGACTCATTGGAGTAAGCCTTTCAATTACCTTGAGGCATATTTCAACTGCATAATTCGACGATGAAATATCTTTTAAATTATTAAGTTTTTCATTTTATCACTTTATATTAAGGGTGTTTTTCTCTGATTTTAATTTTATTATTAAGGGACTTTTATTTATGCCTTCATGTTATTTATTTTTTGAAAATATATGGTTTTTACTTTTGATAATGTATTATCTCGATACTGAAGCTGTGTGCTTAAAGAATAACGTTTTAGCCATTTTCAGAAAGGTATTCGATGTTTAACTTATTATCAAACATGTGTTGTCCTATTACAGGTTTCCTCTAAACCTTGCTTGAAAAATACCGATGTCGAACACAAAATCTCGTTTTAAATACCGCATGATCACTCTAGTCTTAGTGGTGATCTTTTACACTTCCAAAGCCGCTATTCTCTATACTCGCCATCAAAATAATGATAACACTCAATCCGAAGCACCAATTGATCGACACCTTCTAGTCATGAATCCATTTACCAATTCCCGATTCAATTGCACTCCTATAGCCTTAGAAAATTTCCCTCGTGATCAGTTTACTCAAAAGCAACGGCGATCTGGCCTGGTGATATTTCACATTTTTGCTGCAGCTTACATGTTTTTAGCCCTTGCTATTGTGTGTGATGAATACTTTATCCCTTGTCTTGAAGTGATCTGTGATAGTGAGTTTCTGAATTCCCCAAAGTTTCCTTTTATAAGTCTTACTGGATCTTATTAAAGCTCTTTCACCCTCTGTAGCTTTACGTCTTCAACCTGATGTGGCTGGTGCGACTTTTATGGCCGCTGGCAGTTCGGCACCTGAGTTGGCAACAACTTTAGTTGGAGTTCTAATTGCAAGAGTAAGTTTAATTGTTAGCTATATATTTTTTCATTTATTTTTATCCTACTCAGTAAGAAGCATAATGAAAAATATTTCAAAATTAGGAAGAAGTAATAGTCAGAATTGCTTACTGCAATTTTGTAATTGGTTCGGTACTAAAATACACGAATATGAACGACATTTCTGTCCTCCATTGTTTCGTGCTTCTTTCAATAATACCTATCTCTCATGTAAAGTTATCAACATCGGAGAGTCGTTGTCCTTCCTACATTTGAAATTTTTAAGGAAGAAAGGGTTCTTACCCTTCCATCCAATTTATCCTCAATTACTCTATGAAGAAATCATCGTTTTTTATAAGAGTACTGGGA